ACTTACAGATTAATAGAAATGGGTTAATTTAAGATATAAGAGGTAGTTAGCAAGATGCCTGTCATAGGCCATACAGTTTGTAAACAATATTAAGCCTCTGGAGCCTGTCCTGGATCTCGCTCTGTCAAACAGGCTGGCCTCGAACTCACAGAGATCCGCCTGGCTCTGTGCCCTCAAGTGCTGGGATTAAAGGCTTGCACCACCACTGCCTGGCCTGAGTGATTATTTTATATGTGGCTTCAGGACCACAGGGCCATGTGGGACCAGAGAAACCTTCTGGCTACATTTGGCGCCCGGACATGGTAGCAAGAATTTCCACCCAAAACCTGAGAAAGCTTTAAAAAAAGATTCTAAAATGGAGCTAAAAACAGCTTCCTAGTTGTGTCTCTCAGGCCAGCCACAGCCTGCAGGCTTGACCTACAGTATGGCAGATTCCCACGCAGTACACTGTAGTGTGTAGCTGTTCCAGCTTTGACCTGGAAGTAATACCCCCAGTGAGGCTTCCAGTAACTGTCACGCCTACCTATGACCTGCCCGAGGCAGGGCCGAGACAGGAGCCCTTAAGACCCGAGATCCAGATATACAGGCGCTCTTGGTTCTTGGTGATCCTGGATGATAGACTGAGCAAAGTTCTCCAGAGAACACCGCTGGACTGCACTTCACCTCTCCTGGATCCTGTAACCTATACCTTTACTTGTTGTAAGTTACCCCAAAATAAACCTCCCTTTTAACTACGTGGAGTTGCCTTAATAAACCCACCAATAGTACACAGAGATATCTCCAAGCCATACAGCACACTGAGTGGTGAATTTAGCTTTTGCTAGTACAGAAAAAAGAAAAAAAAAAAAGGTTTCTGGGCTATATGTTGCTTGTTGGAGACACAGACTCACTGCTTTCCAGAGCTGACAGTGAGCATGGCTCTCAGAGTTGGCAGGAGGTACCTCCACCATGTTGGGAAGCTGAGATGGGCTGCCGCTTCAGTCCTAACCACGCTGCAGTTTAAAGCAATGATCAGAAAAGGATTATAGATACACAAAAGACAGATTCAGATGGAATAAACCTCTAAATGGCTTACATTATGTATAAAAATGTATATAGGCTTGGAAGAGAGAGGAAAAGCAGGCTAGACAGTTATATAAAGAAGCAGATAGCTTTAAAAAATAAAGTATTTAAAGAGACAATAAGAATAATATAAAAGTTAGGCCACAAAAAGATGAAAATTACACAAAGAATCTGGATACTGCAGATTATTATATTGTCTTTGGGATTTTTAACTGCAGAAAGATATTTGATTGTAAAGGCTGCTGAGTTAAACCAATATATATATACTTTAAAGGTATCTTGACTTCAAAATTTGTGTCTAAGGATACGTTGCTTTGGAAAAGAGGTTCTGCTTTTGTTTCCACAGAAGATGAGAACCTGTGGATTGCTTCTAGGCTCATATGGTTTGATCAGCCAAGAACCCCTGAAAGGTCTCTGATGACACCATGGCCCAGATGATCCAACATCCAAAATCAGCTTCAAGGCGACTGGCTGAGATGATCCATCCTCACAGACTACTCCAGCCAAGATTTAACTATAATTCTTAATTTTCTTAGGCTCCCCATAGGATTACCAGCACCCCAAATCAGCAGGAAATAGTAGGAGAAGTTACACCCAAATTCCCAAAATATTGTTTATAAGTGTTTATTTTTATTTAAAAGGGTTGATTATAAATGCAATCTCTTTCTAAAGAAGAAAAGGGGATATTATAGATATGATAGGATGAAAGGGTAAGTTATTGGATCTACTTTTATTATTTATTTATTTATTTATTTTTGGGTTTTTTGAGACAGGGTTTCTCTGTGTAGTTTTGGAACCTGTCCTGGATCTTGCACTGTAGACCAGGCTGACCTTGAACTCACAGAGATCCGCCTGCCTCTGCCTCCCGAGTGCTGGGATTAAAGGCGTGCGCCACCACCGCCTGGCTTTGAATCTACTTTTAAAGAACAACTTGTTTAAAATGTTTTACACTGCTGTAGATTTTAGTTTATTACAAATTTAAAGTTAATTTTGTTATACTGTATGTATATTTCTACTCTTGTTTAAGGTATTATGTTTATGCAGCTCATTTAAAATTGTAATGTATAATTAAGAAATACAGATTAGCTGGGCTAGGATAATCAAACTTACAGTCATGTTAGTTAAGTTTTGCAGGCATATAAAGATATATTGCAATTAGGTAAGTAATCTTCAAACACTTCAAAGACTTACAGAATATGGCACTCAAATTGTTTTAAAAACTTAGACTCTTCTAGACAGTGAGACATGTCTGTTCCTGGCAGCACCAATTTACTTCAAAGAAGAAGATGGGCATTGAAGACATTCCATATGGAATTTATCTTTTTCTTGGCACAAAATGGCCTGCTGGGCAAAGAACTGATCTTGCCTGGACTGCTTGACAGTATGCTTTATAGACTGGACATACAGGACCCATGGAAAAATGACCACTATATTTTGCTAAAACAAGGCAAGATGGTCCTTCAGGTTCCTGCTTTGCAGAGGAGACTGCCAGACGTTCTACAGGACACAGAGAAGTAACTAAAAAACTCTAGGCATACAGGCTGAAGATGGATGCCCCAATGTTGCAGAGGAACTGTACAGGCAGCCAGATGTCTCTGTCATTCTAGATTTTTGGAAGTTGCTTACAATGCACTTCCTGTTTATTTAGATATTATCATGTCCTTCTGGGGTCTTCGATGGACTTGAAGACTAGATAGTTATAATTATAGTTTTCAATGGTTGATAAAAGGTAAATTAGGTATGAAACTTTAGGTTAACAAATATAGGACAGATGATAAACTATTTTCTTTAATTTTGCCAAATACAAATAGAGTAGATATTATAGCTATAATTCTTGATAACTGTTTATTATATATAATTTTACTATATTAAAGCTAAAACTTTTTTTTTTTAATTTTGCAATACAATTCAGTTCTACATATCAGCCACGGATTCCCTTGTTCTCCCCCCTCCGTCCCCCCTCACCTTCCCCCCAGCCCACCCCCCATTCCCATCTCCTCCAGGGCAAAGCCTCCCCCGCGGACTGAGATCAACCTGGTAGACTCAGTCCAGGTAGGTCCAGTCCCCTCCTCCCAGGCCGAGCCAAGCGACCCTGCATAGGCCCCAGGTTTCAAACAGCCAACTCATGCAATGAGCACAGGACCCGGTCCCACTGCCTGGATGCCTCCCAAACAGATCAAGCCAATCAACTGTCTCACCCATTCAGAGGGCCTGATCCAGTTGGTGACCCCTCAGCCATTGGTTCATAGTTCATGTGTTTCCATTCGTTTGGCTATTTGTCCCTGTGCTTTTTCCAACCTTGGTCTCAACAATTCTCGCTCATATAAACCCTCCTCATTCTCGCTAATTGGACTCCCAGAGATCCACCTGGAGCCTAGCCATGGATCTCTGCATCCAGATCCCTCAGTAGTTGGATGGGGTTTCTAGCACGACAATTAGGGTGTTTGGCCATCCCATCACCAGAGTAGGTCAGTTCGGGCTGTCTGCACACCTATGAACATATAATTTTTGACAAAGAAGCCAAAAGTGCACAATGGAAAAAAGAAAGCATCTTCAGCAAATGGTGCTGGCATAACTGGATATCAACATGTAGAAGACTGCAAATAGATTCATATCTGTCACCGTGCACAAAACTTAGGTCCAAGTGGATCAAGGACCTCAACATAAATCCAGCTACTCTGAACCTGCTAGAAGAGAAGGTAGGAAGTAGTCTTGAACACATTGGCATAGGAGATCACTTCCTAAATATAACACCAGTAGCACAGACACTGAGAGAAACAATCAATCAATGGGACCTCTTGAAAGCGAGAAGCTTTTGTAGAGCAAAGGATACGGTCAACAAGGCAAAGTGACAGCCTACAGAATGGGAAAAGATCTTCACCAACCCCACATCTGACAGAGGACTGATATCCAGAGTATATAAGGAACTCAAGAAATTAGACATCAAAATGCCCAACAGTCCAATTAAGAAATGGGCTATAGAACTAAACAGAGAATTCTCAACAGAGGAAACTCAAATGGCTGAAAGACATTTAAGGAATTGCTCAACATCCCTAATCATCAGGGAAATGCAAATCAAAACAACTCTGAGATACCACCTTACGCCTGTCAGAATGGCTAAGATAAAAAACACTGAAGACACCTTTTTTTTTTTTTTTTTTTGAGACAGGGTTTCTCTGTGTAGTTTTGGTGCCTGTCCTGAATCTCATTCTGTAGACCACCAGGCTGGCCTTGAACTCACAGAGATCTGCCTTCCTCTGCCTCCTGAGTGCTGGGATTGAAGGCATGTGCCACCACCACCCGGTGTAAAACCTTCCTTTTTTATTAGATAGAAAAGGGGAAGTGCTGGGGGATGCCTTTCTGTCTGTGAATATATGTTGTTCCCATTGGTTAATAAACAGGCTGCTTTGGCCTATGGCAGGGCAGCTTAGAGGCAGGCAGGAAATCCAAGGAGAGAGACAGGAAAGAGAAAGGTGAAGTCTGGAGAGATGCCAGCTACTGCCGAAGGAGCAGCAAGATGCCAGCAGTCCGGTAATGCCAAGGCCACGAGGCAACTTACAGATTAACAGAAATGGGTTAATTTAAGATATAAGAGGTAGTTAGCAAGAAGCCTGCCATAGGCCATACAGTTTGTAAACAATATTAAGCCTCTGAGTGATTATTTTATAAGTGGCTATGGGACCTGGGGGGCCAGGCAGGACCAGAGAAAACTTCCAGCTACATATGTGTGTTTATACGTGGTAAGGTTCATATGTGTGTGTGTGTGTGTGTGTGTGTGTGTAATATATATGGTAAGGTTTCTCATTATTTTTACTGTGCTTTATTTTCCAACTTCAAAATATCTTGTCCATACATACCACATAAAACCTCGATCTAAGAAAAAACAGTTTTACTTTCCTCTCTCCTATGAGGCATCGGTTTGTAAGAATGAACCATACCTTGGTCAGGGCTGTGCTTTCACCCAAGTTTGGCGTCAATTCTCGGTCCTCCTCAGCCACCGGCGCGCTGTCCCGCAGCAGGTGAAAATGCATCAGCTCCACCTCCTCAGGTGGGAACAGCGCTTCTGGGATGCTGATGGCCACACAGTGCTGAAGGCTGGGTTGGGGCTCTTGTTCCAGCCACAGCACAGAAGGCAATGTCAGTAAGCTTTCTGCCTGTGGCACCATCACTGGAAACTCCTCCGAGTGTGGCACACTCAGCCATCCCAGCCCCTGGAGGTGCACTTCCTGGGAGGTCAGGTGCACAGCCTGCAGGGTCAGGATCCGCCTGTCAGTCTCCACCGGGACCCACAAAGGCAGCTCAGGCTGATCTTTCTGGGGCCCGGCACCCTGAAGCTGGCAGGGCTCGGCCTCCACCTCGACAGTACCCTCCTGGGCTTCCATTCTTTGTACCCCACCCTCCTCCTTTTCCGGGTCTCCAGGTTTCAACTTCTGCTCTTTGATTTGGGTGAAGTGTTCAGAAGAGACAGGGACCTCAGCGGCTGCCATGGTAATGTCCCCTGACGGAAAGAGAGCATGCAATCTTTTATGGGGTGCAGAGGGGCTGAGGCCTAGCAGACACGGGCTTTCATCAAGGTGCAAAAGACAGAGCCAACATTCTAGGCCAGTCTGGGCTCTGTAGTGAGACCATGTCTCAACATCCCTCCACCCCCCGCAAAAGTCTCTAGCGGGGCTTAAGCGACAACAGGCAACAGTCCAACATTATAAGTCCCAGGCTGGGTGCACAAAGGTGAAGGGTGGTGGTCTGAGCTGGCATGGCCAAGGGCTGGGCAAAACCCGGGTCAGCGCACAGGTCTCCAAAGGCTCACCCACTCCCCAACCTGGTGCAACACTCGAGGTCTGCAGGGCAGAGCAACCTCTCTTTGGACCTCGAGGCTCTCGGCAGCCATGTGCACACGGCCCATCTGGCTCCATGCCCACCACCCACGCTCGCGCCTGCCCGTCCTGCTCCGGCTTGCCTCACCCCACCCCATCCCACCCATACCCATGCCCCCTGGTGCTCCCCAGGAGGCCTAGGCACTCCGCAGCCTTACCACGGAGGCGGAGCCTGCGTGGCTGCCGCCTTGTCACCTCGTGCTATGCGGCTCTTCGTGCGCAGCCACTGCCACCACCCTCCCCGAAGCAGGCCGTGTGCATGCGCGGGCGGGAAAGGGGTGGAGCCTAGGAGAGGGAGAGCGTGGAAATGAGCAAGTGGAGTAAGGGGGCACAGGACGCCAAGGGGGCGCTGGAGTCCCGGGGGGGGGGGGTGATGGGCAGAGAGGGAGAGGTGGAGTCCTGAGGGGGGCGCTGGAGTCCCGGGGGGGGAGGTGATGGACAGAGAGGGAGAGGTGGAGTCCTGAGGGGGGCGCTGGAGTCCCGGGGGGGTGATGGACAGAGAGGGAGAGGTGGAGTCCTGAGGGGGGCGCTGGAGTCCCCGGGGTGGGGGGGGGAGGTGATGGACAGAGAGGGAGAGGGCGCTCAAGTCCTGAGGGGGGGCGCTGGAGAGCTGGAGGGTGATGATAAATAGCCTCCTGCTGAAGCCTAGGGTGTGAGGATGAACGGGAGGAGGGTCTGAAGGGGCTGCTGGAGGCATGGCAGGTGGAGGTGGAAGAGGGGTCTAGAGGGAGAGCTGAAGCAAGTGAGAAAGAAGTGGAGGGAACCGACCTGGAGACTGTGGGAAGACCATCAGAGAGCTGAAGAGGAAGGTCCTAGGAGAGGCAGAGGCGCGCGCCGCGCGCGCGTGTGTGTGTGTGTGTGTGTGTGTGTGTGTGTGTGTAGGGTGCTGGGTGCTGGGTGGTGGAATGGGGCTTGAGGGGGGGAGGTTTGCATTGTAAAATGGAGGGCCACAAACCATGTGAGCACAGGGGTGGTAAAGGAGCTGTGGGGGGAGAGGGACCAGGGGGGCCAGAGGGAGCAGGACGGAAACAAGAACATTCTGTTGAAATTTTGGAACATTGGAAGGTTGTAAAACATACCTTAAAAAAAAATCAAATGTGGGTCTCTAAGGTGTTGTCTTCAGACTTGTGTTTATCTTCAACCTAACTGCAGCCTTTACTCAGCAGCTCGGGTGCCACCAGATGAGTGGAGGCAGGGCAGGGGTGCCAGGATGGAAGGCAGGAGGACCGGACCTCTGCGGGACTGTAGGTCTCTTCCAGCTCTCCCCGCTTGATAATGTTCTCAACAGGAGCATCCTTTGTGGGCAGTGAAGTGGGTGGAGAAGAGTGGAAATTGGGGGACAGTGGAAAACCAGAAGGTCAGAAGGACACTCTTCCCTGGGAGCCCTCCCACTCTCCGGAGTTCCTTGTTTTTCCACAACCAGGTGTTTGTTTTGCCTCTTTAAAGGTACGGCTTATAGCTCTCAGCATTTAGCACATTTCAAAAGTGTAACGTAATCTTGTTTGCTAGTTGTGAATAAACACATTTATGTGTTGGGGTAAGTCTCGGAGGAGAGCACACAGTTTGAGGAACAGCCTTCTAAAAAAAGTGACCTTGCGTTTTCATGCAGTCTTGATTCGAACCACGGTGTGGATCTCCCTCCTACCTGTACATGGGATTTTTCGATGTCCACCCTTCTCTGTCCTAGCCTTTTCTCCCCACACGTTCTCATAGCTATTTCTCTCTTATTTGCATATAGTATATACTCAGATTTTTTATTTCAATAGTGCAACAGATGGAACTCAAGTCAGTTCTAACAGAAACTCTCACACCATTCATGAGTTAGATCCTTGGGCCACTGGCTTTCTCCTCATATCTGAGATTTCTGTGTGTGTGTGTGTGTGTGTGTGTGTGTGTGTGTGTGTGTGTGTGTGTGAGAGAGAGAGAGAGAGAGAGAGAGAGAGAGAGAGAGAGAGAGAGAGAGAGAGAGAGAGAGCGTGAGCGAGCGAGCTGGGATTGAGCTGGGAAGATAAATATTTGGAGGTCCTTGTGAAAACAGTGCTATAATAACTTTTATTTTAAAAAAGATATATTTATTATGTATGCAGTGTTCTGCCTTTATGTATGCCTGCAGGCCAGAAGAGGGCATCAGATCTCATTACAGATGGTTGTGAGCCACCATGTGGGTGCTGGGAATTGAACTCAGGACCTTTGGAAGAGCAGCCAGTGCTCTTAACCTCTGAGTCATCTCTCCAGCCACTACAATTTTAAAAATTACTTAAATGACATTTTTCTGCTTGAGCAATAACCCCCTTCCAGTATCTTCGTGGGTAATTTTGCAGCTGGGGGATTTTCTCGGGATATATATTATAGATTGATGTTGGAAAATTTCTAAAGCTCCCCACTGAACCTCTTTCTCCTGTGTTTTGAGATGGTCGCCCAGGCTGGCAAGCCTGGGACCCACTATGTAGTCCAGGCTGAACTAGTTTTTCTTTTCATTCTTCCTATTTTTTTTAATATCCTCAAGGTTTATAAATTTTTATTTATTTATTATTTTTAGGGCCTTTTTTTGTTTGTTTGTTTGTTTTCGAGACAGGGCTTCTCTGTGTAGTTTTTGGTGCCTGTCCTGGATCTTGCTCTGTAGCCCAGGCTGGCCTCGAACTCACAGAGATCCACCTGGCTCTGCCTCTCAAGTGCTGGGATTAAAGGCGTGCGCCACTGCCACCCAGCTATTTATTTATTTATTTTAAGACAGGGTCTCCTAGTGGAGGGAAGGGCCTGCAGTAACCTCTTCCTTTCTCCCTGTGGTTCACTCAGGGTTTACTCCTTGTCTGTTTATTGTTTTGAGACAGTCTCATGTAGCCCAGGCTGGCCTAAAGTACTAATCCTGCTTCAATCTCCCTGGTTCCAGAAAACTCACATTTTTGAGGTCCTAGGGCAATGGAACCCAGGTACCAGTTCATGCTAAGCAAATGGTCCACCAGTGAGCTATGCCCAAAGCTGATTTGTTTTCTTTTCAGCTGGCTCTTGCTATGCAGCCTAGGCTAGCTTGATTTCACTAGCTTCCTGGCTCAGTTCCTGGTGCTAGGATTGCAGGCGTTTACCACCTGGCCTAGCTTGTCTTCCATTCTTCTAAACGGCTCCAGGGACAGCAAGATGGCCCAGCAGGTAAAGGGGCTTGCCACCAAGCCACACGTGAAGAGAAAATATCTTTTTTCTGTTCTTGCTTTTCTTCTTCCTGTTTTTTAAATTATTAATTTATTTATTTTACATCCTGACCACATCCTCCTCTCCCTCTTCTCCTCCCACTCTTTCCCCTCCTCCACCCTCCCCCTCTTAGCCCACCCCACCTCTGTATTCACTCAGAAAGGGGCAGGCCTCCCATGGGCATCAGCAAAGCATGGCATATCAGCCTGAGCAAGGCGATCCAGCATGAGGAACAGGTTCCCAAGAGCCAGCCAAAGCACAGGGGACCACCCTGCTCCCACTGCCAGGAGTCCCACAATTCTTTCTGTTTTTAAAAGGATTTATTCATTTTATTTTATGTGTGCGTGTTGTCTGCATGTATGTATATGTACCTGTGGGTGCCTGGTGCCTGAGGAGGTCAGAGGGAGGCTTCAGAATCCCTGGAACTGGAGTTATAGTTGTGAGCTGCCATATGGGTGCTGGAAACTGAACCTGGGTCCTCTGCAACAGCAACAAGTGTTCTTAGCCACAGAGCCCCCTTTTGGAGATAAGGTTTGATGTAACCCAGATTGGCCATGTTCTTGAGGATGACCTGAACTGCTGATCCTCCTGTCTCCACTTCTTGAGTGCTGAAATCACCCATTTGTGCCAGTGTTCCCAGCTCAAGTGCAGATGACATAGATACATGAGTGAGAGACAGGCCAGTGAAAGGAGGGACCTGGGAGGGGAAACTGAGGTAGACTTGGAGGAGCAGAGAGGGAGTTTCATAAAAGGAGAAAGCTGGACCCAGGAGAGGAGCGTGAAGAGGCCCCGAGGGAGGAGGTGGTGGCAAGCCCTCCCTGTTCCGATTTTGCTTGTGGTCGTGGAGATGATATTTGGAGGGAGGTGCCTCTTGAAGCTGTGCTGGTGTCCTGCTGGAGGGCCTGAGAATTCAAGACACAGCTTAGCACAGTGAGGTGTGACCCCAGTTTATAATCATACCACCCCCATTCTCTCTTCCTGCCTCCCTCAGACACAGCATCTTTGTCTTAAACACTGGGTAATGTTTACTTGTTTCTTGTTTTTACTGCCAAGAATATTATAGAAAAGTATTTTTAATGTTTAAACATTATATATTTAATTTAACACACTTATACATGTGATATGCAAACACAGCTGTACATGATATGCAAATGTATACCTGCATGTGATAATTCAAGTGTGTATTTGCATATGATATGTAAATATGTTTACATGGGATAGTCATGTGTCTGCATTTGTGCATGGTCCCCGTTTATGCCATAGGGTGGGTGGAAAGCTGGAGGTGGGCAGGGGTCACTTTTACTGAACTGGCCTGACTGTTGTTGATGGAGAAGCTTGGCACCTCTAGTGATTCTTTCTTGCCACCTTGCTAACATGCATGAAGAGAACATGCGATTTGCATATCTGCGTATCCTACAAGCTTACAG